GCTGCACCACCCAGCACCCATCCCATCCATCCACCCACCCATCCACCCCCATCCACGCCACCATTTCCATCATCCACCATCTGTCTTACCATCCGACCACCCACCCAATCCATCACACCATCCATCCATCCATTCATCCATCCATCCATCCATCCATCCACCATCCATCTACCATCTGCCCACCCATCTATCCACCCATCCACCATCCATCCACCCACCGTCCACCTATTTATCCATCCATTCTCCCTCCCTCCATTTACCACCCATTGGTCATATGATACTCTGTCTAGAAGCTCTGACACGACATCTTGGCCACTTCTGTGCTGCCTGTGCCTCCTACCTGTGGTAGCATCCATGTGGCTGATTCCTTAGCTAAATTCTGCACAAACCTGAGAGGCCTGAGTGGAGCATCTACCACGTGCCAAGCCCCTGCTGGCAGATGCTGGTGAGCAGGTCATGGTCTTGTGGTATCAGTGAATGAGCAGCGACTGTCCTATCCCAGAACCTGCCTGGTGTGCTCAGGTTGACGTGAGGAGGGATGCGGTTTTCCCCCAGGATCCCTCAGCACTCTGTTCAGGGCAGCTGTTTCTCCCCACTGACCACAGCTGCAGCTCCAGGGCTGTGGTGCGGCGGGGCCTGCCTGGCACCTCCTGTCCTTTCTACTCACCCCTCTTTCCCTGCAGTTTGGGGAGCACTTTGAGTTCGACTGCAAGAACTGTGTCTGCCTGGAGGGTGGAAGTGGCATCGTCTGCCAGACCAAGAGGTGCAGCCAGAAGCCTGTTACCCACTGTGTGGAAGACGGCACCTACCTCGCCACGGAGGTCAACCCTGCCGACACCTGCTGCAACATTACCGTCTGCAGTAAGGCCATCCCCTGGGGCCCGCACCACCTCTCGGAGGTGCACACATCCCCGTAGGCCGGGCTGTCTGCTGTCCCCTCTGTGGCAAGTGGGGAAACAGCTGGCTTGGGGGCCTCCGATGTGCCCCTTGAGAGGGCTTGGGAGGGGGCCGCTGGGCACAGTCCAGGCATCCCTGCTGCAGGGCCTGACCTGGGTGGGGAGGGGACCCTTGGTGGTGCTGGGGGCCTGACCCTGTGCAGTGGCCCCGGGGGCTTTGCCTGTGAGGAGCCACCCTCATGGCCGCATGCCCACCCTGTCTTCAGAGTGCAACACCAGCCTGTGCAAAGAGAAGCCCCCCGAGTGCCCGCTGGGATTTGAAGTGAAGAGCAAGATGGTGCCTGGCAGGTGCTGCCCCTTCTACTGGTGTGGTAAGCAGGGCTGGTGGGCGGGGCAGGGGGAGGCTGCCGCCCGGGGTGGGGGGCTGGTGGGCGGGCAGGGGGGAGGCTGCCGCCCGGGGGGGGGTGGCTGTGGGGGATGGGCTTTCTCCTGGGGGCCTCAGATTCTGGGGACACAGATGGCTGCATGCTTGGTTGATGCACCCACCCCAGCCTTGAGCGCCCACTGGGTGTGCACTGGGAGTGGGAGTCTGGCAGGTGGCCATCCTGGGGCAGTCTCCAACGAACGGCGTTCTCCGTTCTTTCTCCCAAGAGTCCAAGGGGGTGTGCGTTCACGAGAATGCTGAGTACCAGGTGAGCCCTGGGCTGGGTGAGGGGGGAGGAGGGGAGGAGGGGAGGAGGTTGGCTGCAGTGTGGAGGTCCTGGCAGGCTCTTGGGCTGGCTGGGGTGCTGGAGAAGCCCCTGCCTCACGTCTCTCCCTATGCCCGAAGCCCGGTTCTCCAGTTTATTCCTCCAAGTGCCAGGACTGCGTGTGCACGGACAAAGTGGACAACAGCACCCTGCTCAACACCATCACCTGCACCCATGTGCCCTGCAGCACCTCCTGCAGCCCAGTAAGCGGCTGCCCCAGCCCTGGTTCCCCACCTCAGCCTGCCCTTTTCCCTCCTCCCAGACAAGTACCCGGGCCCATGTCTGTGTCGTGACACTTTCTTTCCTCCTTTCAATGCCAACCTCTCCCTGTCCCCACCTCTCCGTCCTGACACCTGCCCAGCTTAGGGCCTCCTCCAGGTGGGGGTTGTTGGCAGTCCTGCAGGCTTTGTGCGGTGTGGGGTACAGCCTGGGAGTTCAGCTGCAGTGGCGTGTCTGTGTGCGCAGGGCTTTGAACTCGTGGAGGCCCCCGGGGAATGCTGCAAGAAGTGTGAACAGACGCACTGTATCCTCAAGCAGCCTGACAACCAGCACGTCATCCTGAAGGTGTGTGCTGCTGGCCCTGGCATGGTCGGGGTTGCTTGAGCCCAGGGCAAGGCACAGGCCACCCAGGATCCTCCAGCTGACTCCTCCCAGTCCTGGACGCAGCTGTGATGGGCGTCCTAGGGCTGCCATGACAAATGAGCAGGCGTCTTCAGGGCAGAAAGGGATTCTCCTGGTTCTGGGGCCCAGAAATCCCAGAGCAAAGGGCCTCAGGGCTGTGCTCCCTCAGAGGCTCTAGGCAAGGACCTTTCCCAGCCTCTGGTTCCTCCAGGTGCCCTTGGCTGTGGCCATGAGGTTTCCTTCCCTGTGTCTGTCTCTCCTCTCCCTTGTAAGGATTTAGGGCCCCCCAGCAGGATGATCTCATCTTAGGATGTTTCATTTAATGACACCTTCAAAGATCCCTTTTCCAAGGCAGGTCGCGTTCATAGATTTAGAGTTACAACACAGACAGATCTTTGAGGGTTGTGTGGGCTCCAGACTGGTGCCTGATGTGGGGTCCCACCCGTGTCGCTTGTCCTGTGGCCCTGGGCCTTGCCAGGAAGCCTCCCCAGCCAGGTGTCTCCAGGGTGTCTTCCTGGCTGGGCTGGGCCTGCTGCCCTCCCTCACCAGAGCTCCCTGCCCCACAGCCTGGGGACTTCAAGAGCGACCCCAAGAACAACTGCACATTCTTCAGCTGCGTGAAGATCCACAACCAGCTCATCTCGTCCATCTCCAACATCACCTGCCCCAACTTTGACGCCAGCATTTGTGTCCCGGTGAGTGGGCCACCTGGGGCCTGGCTGTGGGTGCTCAGCCGGGAGTGGGGGCGCCTGGTGTTCTGAGGGTCTGGGGCCCCAGTGCTGTGACAGTGGCCTTGGGCCTGGTCTGAGCTGCCACAGGAGGCTTTGCCTGGGGCTTTCTGCAGCAGCTACTCCCGCCCATGGCATGGGAGGAAGGTGCTGTCATCCCCAGGAATGTCTGGGGGTCCCGGGCTCATTCTCCTTTCCCTCCAGGGCTCCATCACACTCATGCCCAATGGATGCTGCAAGACCTGTGAGTACAGGGCATAGCCTGGGGGGTGGGCAGGGTTGGGGCACAAGGGCTGGTGCCCTCAGCCCTGCCTGGGGTGGCTGGAGGATGGACAATGGCCTCCGGGTGGGCAGTGAGGGCTGGGGGCTGAGGCTGAGCCTGGGGAAGGGACGTAGCGAGGGAGAGCCTCCCTCTCCCCTTAAAGATGTGGAGGCCCTGCCCCGAGCCGCTGCCCCCTCTCCCCAGGCATCCCTCGCAATGAGACCAGGGTGCCCTGCTCCACCGTCCCCGTCATCACGGAGGTTTCGTACGCTGGCTGCACCAAGACCGTCCTCATGAATCATTGCTCCGGGTCCTGCGGGACATTTGCCATGTGAGTTCCAGGCTGGGAGTGTGCCTGGAGGGGATGGTGGGGGCCCCATAGAGGCGAGAGGCCAGCGCTGGCCCTGGGAGGTCGCCCCTCACTCCGCCCTCCCCGCAGGTACTCGGCCAGGGCCCAGTCCCTGGACCACGGGTGCTCCTGCTGCAGAGAAGAGAAAACCAGCCAGCGTGAGGTGGTCCTGAGCTGCCCCAATGGTGGCTCGCTGGCACACACCTACACGCACATCGAGAGCTGCCAGTGCCAGGACACCATCTGCGAGTTGCCCACCGACACCTCCCGCCGGGCCCGGCGCTCCCCCAGGCATCTGGGGAGTGGGTGAACTGGGTGGGCACAGCCACCCTTCACTGCCCTCCACAGCTCTGCCTCCCCCGGACCCTCTGAGCTTCCTGGCCTCCTAAGCTTGGCTTCCTCTCTTCAGATATTTATTGTCTGAGTCTTTGTTCAGTCTTTGCTTTCCAATAATAAACTCAGGCAGACACGCCGCACTGTGTGGTTTAGGTTGGTGCTGCAGGGGTGTGGCTTGGCCACTGTGCATGGCGGAGGCCTGGCCACCGGGCTTTGCACACAGGACATGGGGACACCACACACACGCCACGTGGTTGGCACATCCCTCGTACCAAATGCAGGGGGCATGTGGGGGCTGCCTGCCCTCCACTCCCGGTTCTCACCCTGGGCAAAACCCCCATGGGGCCGTGGAAACGTGGTCAGATTCCCTGGTAGGAATCCCCCCAGCCCTGAATCTGTGAGAAGAGCCCTGGGTTCCGTCACAGCCATTTCCCAGGCTTGCCACGGTTGGTGGGGACTTTGTGTAGCCCCGAGGGTCAGGTGGCCCTGGGGTGTGTGTGTGTGTGTGTGTGTGTGTGTGTGTAGCCCCGACAGGTAGCCCTGGGGAGGGTGTGTGTGTGTGTGTGTGTGTAGCCCCGACAGGTAGCCCTGGGGAGGGTGTGTGTGTGTGTGTGTGTGTGTAGCCCCGACAGGTAGCCCTGGGGAGGGTGTGTGTGTGTGTGTGTGTGTGTGTGTAGCCCCGACAGGTAGCCCTGGGGAGGGTGTGTGTGTGTGTGTGTGTGTGTAGCCACGAGGGTCAGGTGGCCCTGAGGAGAGGGTGTGGGTGTGTGTGTGCGAGCATTTGCTTGTGTGCACACGTGTCTGCATGTGCCATATGTATGTGAATTGCACCTCGCCCTGGGTCTCTACACTGGGAAAATGGAGAAGGTCTTAGTCCTCAGGTCACTGTCAGCTCCTGCTGCAAAGTGACAAAAGGCAACTAGGACCTGGTGGCCCCGTCAGGGCTTTGGGGAGCTGCCAGGCAGAGCTGCCAACGCCTTCAAACCTGCAGAAGTTCTGGTTGGCTCTGTGGACCCAGCCAGACAGGGGGCACTGGGTGTGGACCCTGGGCACAATGCCCACTCGTGTTGGAGAGCTGAGCCCCCAGCCTTCTAGGTGGAGCCCACGGAGGCTGCTGGGGCCAGAGCAGGTGCTTGTGTAGTTCAGAGAGGAGTCTGGTGTCTCCTGTCAAAGGCAGGTGTGTGCGGGGAGGCCGAGGCCCGTGAGCACAGTGATCCAACCTCAAGCATCCTCTGAGGTCAAAGGGGAGGACATTTGTCCCCAGACCGCAAGGCTGTGCCACACCCTTTACATGTGTAAAAACCCTCAGGAGGGCAGACACCTGGGCTGGGCTCCGCACTTCCAAAGCCAGGGTGCAACCGGTCCCCAGGGCGTGACAGGTCCCCAGGACACAACAGGTCCCCAGGGCGCGACGGGTCCCCAGGGCGTGACAGGTCCCTGGGTGCAATGGGTCCCACCCCCTGCTGTCCTACCTCCCAAGTAGCTGTACAGGCATGTGGCACCATGACTGGCTAATTTTTAAGAACTTGCTTTTTGTTCTTATCTTTCAAAACAATCCTATGTTTTACTAAAGTAACATGCACGTGATTTTTGAATAGTTTTGTTTGTTTTGTAGAGACAGGGTCTCACTATGTTGCTCAGGCTGGTCTCAAACTCCTTCCTGGGTTCAAGCGATCCTCCCACCTCAGCCTCCCAAAGTACCAGGATTACAAGCATGAACCACTGAGCCTGGCTCCTGGCGGGGGGCTGAGGCCACTGCCCTCCCCTAGCTGCTGCCTCCCATCTGACCCCAGGGAGGGCAGTGGTTGAGGGCCGGAGTTGAGCAGCAGCCCTATGGGGTCCGAAGCCAGTTGGGATATCCCAGCTCATCAGCGCCACCCAGGGTCCTGGGGCCCGCTCAGGCCTGGGGCCTTTCCACTTCCCCGCTGGGCTCAGCAGAGCCCCCAGAAGGACCTGCTCATCCCCTCTGGTGGCCCCAGGAGCCCACACTGTCTAGGCCTAGGGACCTCCTGGGCGGTCAGTTGGCCTGGGCCTGCCATGGAGCCCCTGAGGCCACCCCAGCGCCTCTGGCATAGCCACGTGGGGATTCTGGGGGCTTCAGAACTGGCCCTTCCATGAAGCGGTTAGCATGACCCCCAGAGCCATCCCTGGGTCGCTTCGAGGGTGATCTGTTTCCGGCCCATCCCCAAAACCTATGTATCTGCCTGGCTGTGCCCACTGGGCCCAGCAGTCCCTGCACTGGCCAGGAAATGGGCAGGGCGGGGTGGGGGCACTGCAGTCAGAGACCTGGTAAGGAAGAGGTGGCCAGGCTCCCTCCAACTTCCTCATCTGTCTCCCGGCTTGCAGCTGTGAAGAGGGGTTTCTCCTGGTGATGCAGCGTGGACACGGGTGCGGCTGGGCCCCTGCCTGCTCTTCCCTGCTGTGCCCTTTGAAGCAGAGGCTACCCGGGAAGCTCAGGAGAGCATGAGCCCTGACCCCAGTTCTTCCCCAGACAGCCCTGCCCCTCCCCAGAGCAGGCCCCACCCCTTTCCTAGGACGGGCCCCTCCCCTTCCCCAGAGCAGGCCCCACCCCTTTCTGAGAGGAGGCCCCGCCCCTTCCCCAGAGCAGACCCCACCCCTTTCCTAGGAGAGGCCCCGCCCCTCCTGCCCACTCAGGATATTCGTTTTGGGTTCTCTTGTGTCCAAAACTCCAGTGCAGGTGTTGTGGGCTGGGAAGGAGCTGCCCCTTCAGGTGGAGGTAGGGTTGGTGCCAATGGAGGGGCAGGGAGACGCAGGGGCTCCCTTACCACCATGTCCAGTCACTGTGCAGTCCCTGACTTTATCCCCAGCGGCCTCCTCTTCCTCACATAGCTCATGCCCCCAGCTGGGTCCTCCTGGGTCTCCCTAGGGGTGACCTGGGGAAGAGGCTGCCTGGCCTGGTTCCCTGGGCTCCCCACAGTGGGCTAAGCCCACAGCAGAGGAGATAGGGAGCCAGTCAGCCAGGTGGGCAGCCCGCTACCCTCTTGGAGTAGCTGGAAGGGTTGGGACCACGTTCTCTCATTCTCTGGAAGAAGCTGGCTGTTCCCACAGCGGCCTCCCTGTTTCTGGGAGCAGACGGAAGGCCCAGCGCGCGCTCCTCCTTTCCCCCAACGTGAGACTTGCTATTGTTCCCTTGGCTGAAACAAGCCATGTGCCTGGCTGTCAGGTGTTCCGGGCGGTGCCAGCAAACCACAAACCAGGGGCTGAAAGCCACAGGAAAGCTCTATCCCACAGTTCCAGAGGCCAGAGTCTGAGGCGAAGGCGTGGCAGTGCCACACGGCCGCTCAGGCTAGGGGAGGATGCTTTCCGCCCTTCCAGCTGCAGGTGGCTCTGGGCATTCCTTGGCTTGTGGCTGCGTCGCCCACACCCTGCCTCCGTATCCGTGGGGGCTTCTCCCGGGTATTTCTCCCTTTGCATCTCTTCTAAGGACACTGGTCATTGGATTTAGGGCCCACCCGATAATCCAGGCTGATCTCGTGAGGTCCACAATTTAATCATATCTGCAGAGACCCTTTTTCTTTTTCTTTCTTTGGAGACAGATTCTTGCTCTGCCACCCGGGCTGGAGTGCAGTGGTGTGATCTCGGCTCACTGCAACCTCCGCCTCCCCAGTTCAAGCAGTTCTCCTGCCTCAGCCTCCTGAGTAGCTGGGATTACAGGCATGCGCCACCACGCCCAGCTAATTTTGTATTTTTAGTAGAGATGAAATTTCACCTCTACTAGGCTGAAATGTTGGCTAGGCTGGTCTCAACTCCTGACCTCAGATGATCTGCCTGCCTCAGCCTGCCAAAATGCTGGGATTATAGGCGTGAGCCACTGCACCTGGCCGCGAGTCTTGGTGGCTCACGGCAGCAGGGTTCTGTCTGGTTCATGCTCCGTTTGTGGCTGCGTGACTGGTGCCCTCCTCCACATCCGGTCACTCTAGGGCCTAGGCTGCGGGAGCAGCTTTCGCCTCTGTGGTCACAGTGTGGGGACGGGAGACCGAGGGTCGTGCCCATGTCTGAGTCCCCTGGGAGGTTCTGGCTCCGCTCAGACGCTAGGTCCCTGGGGCTGCAGTACCACCACCAGGCAGGAGAGGGTGCCAGAGACGTGTGGAGGATTTAACAACGGACGGAGCTCAGGTGCAGACAGGTGTCTGATGGGAGTCGACAGCGTGTCTCAACCTGCTATTATAAAAAAAAGCAAGCCCAGACGAGAAGGACGCCGTCTCAACCTGTTTAGGAATGTCTGCCCAGAAACTGCAGCACACATCGGACCCCTTGCTGGGACTTGGGAATCACTCCCACAGAAGCCAGGGGACACGGGAGATGTTGGCCACGGCTGTGCCTTCCTTCTATGGGGGTGCTGGAGGCTTCCCCAAGGCTGTGAGACAAGAGCAAGAAGAAATGAAGACCAGCATTGGGAGACAAAACTATCCTGATTAGTTTCATTTTTATTTATTTTTTGTAGAGACAGGGTTTTGCTATGTTGCCCAGATTGGCCTTGAATGCCTGGGCTCAAGTGATCCGCCTGCCTCAGCCTCCCAAAGTGCTGGGATTACAGGTGTGGCCCTGTACAGAGGATTCCCAAAGTGCTGGGATTACAGGTGTGGAGGCCCTTACAGGATTCCCAAAGTGCTGGGATTACAGGTGTGAGCCTCTTACAGAGATTCCCAAGTGCTGGGATTACAGGTGTGAGCGGCTTAGAGAGGGTGTTACCGGCCCTTATTATCATATAATATGATTATAGCAAACAGGCAAATGATGAAAGAGCCAGCTGGCGGGGCCGGCAGTGGGTTCACGTCTGTATTCCGCAGCACGATGTGGGAGCTGAGGCTGGCAGATCACTGAGGTTGGAGTTCAAGACCCAGCCTGGCACACAGTGAAACCTCATTTCTACTAAAATATAAAAGATTACCCAAGTATGGTGGGCGGACCACTTGTTAATCCTATAGGTACTCAGGAGACTGAGGCAGGAGAATGGCTTTAAACCTGGATGGCCCGGAGGTTACAGTGGAGGCCGTAGATAACCGAACTGCAACTCAGCCTGGTGGTCAGAGCAGATTCTTGTCTCAAAAACAAACAAACAAACAACAACACAACAAAACGAAGATGTAAAGCCAAGAGAATTTTTGACTTTAG